AGCTAAAAATTCTAAATCACAGTGGGGGAAAAATTGGAAAAATTTTTTCACTGGTATAATAATTATTTAACTCTCCTTATGATTGAAAAAATGATCTACGATTACTTGTCAGTTTTGTGAGTTAGTATTGGGAATGTTTTACTTTTTGTATTAGTAACAATCCAAAGGCCTGTAATTTTTTAAAATTCATTTCACCAAAGTCTATTCATACTTCTTTGTTAAAAGAGTGAATAAGCAAAGAAAATAAGTAAAGATATATAAAAAATATTTCAATGCTTTTAAATATAATTGAGCATGTGGGGAGATATTCAGTGTACATCATAACAATGTATATAAAAATAAGCTGGAATATTAGAGTTTATATATTAAAAAAGGAATATAAATGAGGGTTATGCCATTATTAACTCTCATGAGGAGCACTCAAATCTACTTTAATAATTAGTTTGGTGAAAAGTAAAGTATGTAATTTTGTATTTCTTTAAAACTGTGAAGCACTGTATTGTAATTTATAAACATCGTCTTCATTGCAGGTCTGAATGCAGGTCCTTAAAATCAAATGAACTTACTTCCAATTTTTTTAAAAACTGAATATTAGATTTTTTTATAATGATTATTTTTTATTATCAAATGTACATCACAGCGGTGCAACAGTTCACCTCCCTCCCCCCGCCCCCGCTCCCCCTCCACTCTCTTCCCTCTCCCTTCGTAACTGCTAGTCACCTCTCATGTTAAATCCTCAACCCAATCAGTGCATCAACATAGGAAGATGTTACAGGATCATTGGCTATATTCTCCATGCTGTACTACTGTCCCTGCAACCAACTCATATTATGATTGGGAAGTTTTGTGCTGTACTACTATCCCCGCAACCAACTCATATTATGATTGGGAATTTTTGTGCCTCTTTATCCTCCTCCCCACCCATTTACACCAGCCCCTCCCCCATGGTAACCACTAATCACTTCTCAGTGTCTATGAGTCTACTGCTGTTTGTTCATTTTGTTTTGTTTTGATATTCCACAAAAAAATGAAATCCTGACTTATTTCACTTAGCATAATGCCTTCTGGGTCCATCCATGAGATTATTTTTAAGGTCCTTCTTTTTCTTTTTTTTTCTTTCCTATCCTATGTTCTTTGGAAGCAATCTGGGCCCCCATCTGATGGTCAGTTTGAGAATTCATGAAATTAATTTATCCTATTGCTTTGATATTTGCTATTACTTGATGTTAGCACCCATTTGCACAACATTACACATCTTGCATGCTTTAAAATATTTTTAATGTGCAGCCACCAAATTCCAATCTTGAATTTTATCTTTGCTATTCTGTAAATTAAGTACCATGCATTTATCTAAAATACAAGGAAAAGACAATTAACTTAAGACAACCTTTTTTATGCCAAACCTTTTTTTGAAGATTTGCAGATAATTCTGCAGATTTAAAGATTATATGAAACAATTCCATTTGAAGGAAATTATCTCTCACCTGGCTAAATACTCCTTGCTTTTTATTATTTTGGTTTATGAGTTTTTACTCCAAAACAAGAGGAAGAACTCCTGAGAAGCTAAACCCCAAGGTTCCTGCCAGCTCTAAAACTCTGCGGTTCTCTGAGAATAGACCGATGGGGATAATGTCCAAGAAGGATTTTATTATAAAATCACCGTCTGTCTTACTCAGGTCCTAAAACATAGGGTTTGAACTATGGATGTTTTAAAGCCAAATAAGTACATTTCTGCATTATTCATAAACCCATTAACCAGATAAAGGAAGAAACATTTCTCCTAGACACTGATGATAGGATTTCCTAAAATAGTCTTGCCTTCGTTTTATTTCCTTTCTTTTTCCCTTTTATTCTTTCTTACAATTTTATTCTTTGGGGTGGTTCAAATGTCTTTACCCTGAAATATTTAAACTCTAGCTTCTAATTACCTCCTTGACACTGTTTAAACATGCTCTTAAATTGATTTCATAATTAATTTGCAATGAGCCATGTAGTTGCATTTTGAACAATTATACCAGACATTCATATTCAAGGAAAATGAATAGATATGCTACTTGGAATTACTTGAATTTTTTTTCTTTCCTTTTTCTCTAATCCAGTTATAAAACTCACATTTCTAAAATAAAGCCACCTAGATACTCACAGAATATTAGCAAACTAGATCAATTTTGGAGAATAGGTAAGGAAATTTAACTATGAAATTTTCATTAAAACAAAGTAAATAATCCTGGAATAAGATATGTATCCATTTAAAATGTTTTACTAAATTCTAAGCTTAGTTCCACTAAAACAACTAAATATACACATTATCTAATCCATACAAATTCAATGAGCAAGACAGAAGTTAATAATTTTTATTCGAGTTGCAAACTGTTCCTACACTGTGTGCTCTACTCTTGCTTAGATAATGTCAACAGCCATCCTAAAGCATTCAAACAAGATCTAGTCTCTCGGATATTCAGAAACGCACACATGCCCCTCTGTGCCCCACATTCACAGCTAATTACTGTCCATCTTCTCTCACATTCACAACCACACACAGGTAAGAGCTGCCACATATGGGGAAAGTTGTCCCCACTCATCTCTCTGTGGTGCCTCAGCCCACTAGTCTCACTTTTGATCCCACTTCTCTGGTGAAAATGAACTTCATAAGGACCACCATGTTTCTGAAGCAAATGCAAAGCTTTGACTTTCCAAGGTCTTTCAACACAATTGGCTGCTCCCTAATTCTTACCTTCCTATCATAACACTCTGGCTTTCACCCATTTCTCTGGCTCCTTCTTCTCCACCCAAATTTAAATGCTCTTTCTTCTCAGAGACTAATGCTGGGCCCTCTTTGTTTCTCATTCTGTCTCCCTCAGTAGTCCCCTTTGCTTACATGGTTCCTTTACTTCAACTCCTCCTAAACTTAACAGTTGTCTTCATACTTGGCTTCTGAACTCCAAGTCCAAATACTCAACTCCTTAATTAACAGGTCAAGGTGGATATTTCATGACAACTGATCAGCTAAGTAGCTCCTATGGTCATTATTCCTTTTACCTACTTCCTTTCCATTGTTCCATATCTAGTTGTTCTTGGAAGACACACAAGGTCATCCTTTGATACCTAATTATTCCTCACCTACCAAACCAAACACTAAATGCTGTTGGTTCCACCTCCAGCAGTCTTACACGTGCTCTTTCTTATATCTCCTGCTATTTACTCATCTCACCCACTGTCATCTGTCCCTCAAGAGAGTTGGTCCTCCTAAATTGTCTCCACATATACTCTCCTATGCAAATATTATTTTTTAAATCCAAATTAGGTCATGCTACCAGTTTAAAGGCTTTCAATGTGTACCTTTTAGGACTAAGAATAAGATTACTAACTGGACTACACAGCTCCCCATTATTGGACAAGCCCTGCTTGGCCAGTCTTTCTACCTCCTTCCACACATTCCAGGCAAACTGGGTTTCTTTCAGTTCTTCAGTTGTGCCCAGCTCTTTGACTTTGCAGTTTTGTCTTTGCTGTGCCGATCTTCTCCCTGGAACTAGTGGACTCCCTCTCATCCTTCAAATCACAGTAAAACATCATTTTCTCCATTTCTCCACAGCAACCTGGACCTAGTTATGGGTACCTGTTATTCATTCTCAAAGCACCCCACATTTCTCCTTCATAATACTCAGCACAACCACAATTAAGATATTATAATTTTTGTTGAACTTCTATGTGTGACAGGGAACTATTTTAAAATATTAATTGATGTTTTTCTATTATGATATTTTTCTATTCAGATATTTTTATTATGCTTTGGTCTTCCCAGATCAGGTTACTAGACTATGAGGCATCTATTATCTAAAGGAACAATTATTATCATAGAAAATAGGTAAACAAGAGTCTAAGTCTTGTCTTTTGAAATCCAAGGACTTTGAAATACAGCCATCAGTCTTCTGGTCTAACCCACTGGACCCAACTGCCCTAAAGACTAAAGAGCTCAAAGACAGGGGTAGGATGGAGCTGAGGGGATGCACAGGAGGTCTGTGAAGAGGGAGAATGGGAGGACTTCCTGAGGCCTTGCGGAGTCTGAGAGCAATGTCCCCAGGATGAGGAGGAAAGCTTGTTTTTGGGTGAGGGAGAACAGCTCCTGGCTGTGGGAACATCAAATGCTTTTAGTGAACCCAAGAAAAGTGTGACAATAGATGAGAGGAGCTGAGACCAAGGAGTTACTGAGATGGGAGAGAAGATACTCCAGTGGATGGCCACATGGACAGGTGATGACCTGATGCATGTAGTAAGCACCTAGTACTTAGGAAAAGAAAAAAACAAAAAGAAATAACTCAGACTTATTTTCCAATTCTTGGTGGAATGGAGGTTTTAAGTAGACAATGTGCCATTCAGAAATTGAGTGTTCAACTCTCTAGAGACAGGAAATAACAATTGCTTAAATAGCCTAATAGAAGAATTCTCTCCTATAGAAGAATTTCTGAGGTCAGCAGTCCAAGGCAGGCATGGCAGCTTCCCTCTCATCAAGGACCCAGACCCTACTGAGGAGTGACTTCCACCTATAAGATTTCTTCACAATCTGACTACTGAGTTCCAGACTAAAACCGTACAAAAGGGGAAAAGACAAGAAAGGGCCCATGCCAATTCTCTGTCCACCTCTTACAGAGAATTCCTAGAAAGCCTACCAAACAACTTTCTCTTACATCTCCTTGGTAACCCCTAGATACAAAAAAGGCTGAAAAATGTGATCTTTTAGTTGGGCTCCAAGAAAACAGTTCTGCTATTAAGGTGCAAGGGAGAATGGATACTGGATTAAGGTGCAAGGGAGAATTAATACTGGATAGAAATAGCAACTGATAAAAGCGCTGTTGGTTTCCCGGTCAGCCTCGGTCTCTGAGAACGGTGACGTGAAGCAGCTGACCTGCCAGGAGTTTGTGATACAGGCAAGCTCATATTTCCTGGATTCAGATTTACTTTCCCTATCAAATAAATGCAAACTCTTTTAATGTAGTCAACTGAAGAAACATTTTACTTGCTATGAAATACATCAATGTTGCAGGTCCACAACCTCCTTGACCTCTGAATAGTGAAGTCAACTTTCAAAAATCAAGTTAAAAACAATTAGTTTACTATAACTAGCATAATGTTGGTTTCTTAGGTAGAAACCAAACAGGTAAAATTGTCCACATAGTTTATGAGCTGAGAGTCACATACCCCAATATGTCTTACCTTATAGATCGTAAACTAAAACAAAGCAGAATCTATTTCCCTCTTGTTCATGATTTTATTCAAACATCTAGCTCAGTATCTGCTACTCAAGGCAATTTATATTGCTTAATGAATGAAAAAAATAATTAAGAAAAAAGAATGCAAAAATAAATATGCATGGCCTTCTACTATTCAGCATCATGTAAAATTTTCTTGATGTTTCAATGTGGTATGATACTGTTTAATGTTGTGTACTGAGCATTTCTTGTACTCTGCCTCAGAGTATATGGTAGGATTATATATCCAGCACTCTTTTTATATCTGGATGAAGCCATGTAATTGTGAACAATGAGCAGGAGCAACATGCATATCTTTCAGGTGTGAGGATTTAATAACAAACATGAGATTCCCCAGGGCTTTCATTCCCATTGCCAGAGCAACTGATAAAAGCGCTGTTGGTTTCCCGGTCAGCCTCGGTCTCTGAGAACGGTGACGTGAAGCAGCTGACCTGCCAGGAGTTTGTGATACAGGCAAGCTCATATTTCCTGGATTCAGATTTACTTTCCCTATCAAATAAATGCAAACTCTTTTAATGTAGTCAACTGAGGAAACATTTTACTTGCTATGAAATACATCAGTGTTGCAGGTCCACAACCTCCTTGACCTCTGAATAGTGAAGTCAACTTTCAAAAATTAAGTTAAAAACAATCAGTTTACTATAACTAGCATAATGAACAAATCCAATGTATATAAAGATAGAACACTTCAGGTAAAATATATCTGTAAGAAAAACTTTTGCCTTAGTATTTTTAAAGAACCCAGATAAAAAAATTTTTTTAGTTAAACACTTGCATTGGAACCAAGGTAAGTAATAGCATTATAAAAGTGGAACAGTAAAAACAGGACTTTTTTGTCGATTTTGTTACATATATAACAATCATTTACAATGTACATTCATAAGTAATTATATAATATAAGCATCATTAAAGAGTACAATGCAGAAATACACATTTTTTAGAGACAAAAATCTCACTGTGGTACCTTTTAAAAGATATTAATCTGGTTAATAGACCTTCTTTCCCACTGAGTCTATTATTAAATGTAGGTTTGGAAAAATAATTAAAAGCTATTATATCTTTTACCCTGATATTGTGTGGAACATAAAAATTAAACATAACTTGGTTAATAACAAGCAACTTGATCTTTACAAATAGAATGATTAAAGCCTCTATTCTAAAATCTCAGGAAATTATTACAATTCTAGCTTCTTCTAAAAAATCAATTTCAGTTGTTTTTAACCATTTTTCCCTAACTACAATTTCATGGTTATTATGTCACATGACTTGAATACCCTGCACAGTGATACAAACAACTAGATACTTAAGCATGTTTGAGAATTGCTACCCTTTTATGGAAGAGCTGATTATTTTCCATGAGGATGAAAAAGATGTTACATTGAAGTCTGTTGCTTTAGATGACTAATGGATAAATTACTCAGCAAGAAGAGTAAATGGAAATAATTGTGTGTCTATCCTTATAACTTAATCTTGTGACTCCTATGTAGATAGTGCCACCCTAGTGCAGACTGAAGCTGCCCTTGTTAAAGGCTCTGAAATTTAGGGTTTGCACACAATTTTTATTCACCAGTTACTTCTAAATGTAATAACTAATTTAAGAGATTTACCAACCCTTTCTTAATATAAGAAAGGAAAAGACTGAAGAAGTTTAATGGGGTAATGTAGGCAGGGAAATAATGACAGTATGAAAATTAATATTGTTGGAGTTATGGATGTAAAAGATTTATACATATTCTCATCAAACTTTCTAGCTTTTTTATCCTACAGCACAGACATTTTGGATCATTTTTGAGATTATAGACCAAAACTTCTCCACAATGATGCTAGAGAATACAAGAACCACACATTTCCAGATAAGCCCAAAGGCAACTCCAATACCTAGGTATACAAACTTCATGTATTAATTTTTTTAAGATTGGCCTTTTTCAATAGAAGAACACTATGAAAATTTGCATAAGTACCCAAATTATCACCATCCTAGTTCACATTATATATCTTTGCAGAGACCTAGAAAGTCACTACAGGCACATTATCAGCCAGGCTGTTTGGCCAGAAACCATATGCTCAATGAGACCATGAAAAACATTATTGCAGGCAAATCCATGGGGTAGCAGCTGCGGGAAGCTCCAGCTGAGTGGCGGCGCGGCACGCTTCCAAGGGCAGTAGTTCCCGTTGGGCCCGCAGAGAACGGAAGGAGTCTGGACGCCTCACGGTCAGTCTCTCCGTGCAGTCAACACACAGGCACATGTTGTGCGTAGGCATTGCACACGGGCCAAACCAGTTATCCCCCGTGGCTTGTTCTTTGTTGTCCCTTAAGACTCCCCACTCCCACAGCCCACTTTGCAGATGGCTGGTCACTTTGACTTTACCTTTATTTTTGATGACATAATATTCAGGTTCCACTACTATTAGGAGTCCACTGTGTGTCTCTTTTGACCTTAGGTAATGTAAACCTATTCCCCTCCTAACCTTCTTAAAAGAGGTTTAGTAGTATTTTGAATTTTTTCCTATTGCAAAAATTGTTAGTTTTTTGTCTAAAGAGATTTGAAATACCATATGAAATGATGTACTCACATCCCTCACCACCACCTACAAATAACTGAATTACATAAATAAAACATTATACAGAAAGTGCTTTGATACAATTTTTGGGAGGTAAATTTAGCAAGAGCTGGCTCATTGTAGGAAAATTCAACTTATCTTATCCTGATCCTTTTATTCTATACAAGGAAAGAAATTTATGTCAGCTTTAAAAAATCTATTACTGCTTCTCATAACTGAATCCATTATTTTTCTCCATGACCCATCAGGTAAAAACAAGAATAATAGATTGCTTTGACAGAACCTTGAACATAAACGTCTCCAAGAATCAAATGTAGTAAGTTAAATGGGTTTCAGGTGGTATTAAAATGAGAAGGGATAAGCTTCTTTATACATTTCAAAATCATATCTTTACTAAAAAATGTATTATGATTATTATTAGCTGCTACAAAAAGGCAAATAACATAGCAATTGGATTTTCACAATTAGATTAAATGATTTTAAATGAATAATTGAAGTTGTCCTATACATAGTCAATAATTCAAAAGATTAGGTTGACCTTACCTTATAAATATTTTCTGTTCATAAAGGAAGCAAGAGATTCAAATCATGAGTCCCCATGGCCCATTTCAAAAAAGTTTGAGTATATGTACACACCTACCTACAATAGTACAGTTACTTCCTCTCAGGGGATTTTTTTCCTCAAAGGACACTATCTAGCCTCTAATCTTTTCTAATTTTATTTAGATAAGCCAACCTCCCAGCTTGGCACCAGGAAGAGTGACCACATTCCGAGCTTTAATGACAGAACTTATTCTGAACTAGTCATCACATTACACTCACATCAAGTCTATTATTGGTCCAGGGCTCAGCATATGATCCCAATTTGCCTGAACAGAAAAAGAATGGTTTTTATGCAAGCTGCAAATGCAGAGAGAGAAGTTTCCATTTTCTCCTCCTAGTTAGAGAGAAGAGAACAATCTGTAATTGTGTAATTATTGACTGGGCAACACTGCAGGACAATCTAAGATGATATATCATTTTCTCACTGCCTAGCAGAAGCAAACACACTAAAAAAACTTAATTCTCTTTTTAAAAGACACTTGTACATTTCTATTTATTGTTTGAAATATTTGCCATTTGTGACCAGGAAAATGAGGACAGTGTTTGTGACAGAGAGAAGAGTAGAAAGGACTTGGGTATTTGTTAACATAATTGGACTGCTAATGATATTGTGCCTACAGCCATTCTTGTCTCTTGTCTTCAAGTTAGAGAGCTTACAAATTTATTTCACTTTGAACTGAGGTTTCTGTGTCTGTTGAGACATGTTCTTCTTCCCCTTTAAAGATGAGAGAATAAACTTAAAATACTGTTTTCTCATGGCTTGTTTCATTCATATTGCTTTACAGCAGAACATTTTTGACTATATATTTGATTTTGAAACTGCCTTTGAGAACTCTCTCTAATCATCTAATGAGGCGCAAAATTTGATACACCCCATACTTAAGAAGACACTACATTCTTACAAAGGTTAATGCAAATTTAAGATGAGTAAGCCCTCTTGTCTTACCAGACAAAAAATTCAGTTTCATTACCAAGGTTAGACATTATTCTTAGCCTCTAGATCTGGAATACAGTTTGACCTGTTTTGTAGTCAATTTAAAAGTCTGGCCTTTATGCCAGAGATACATTATTTTTAATTATTCAGAAATCCAAGGCCACAGCTCTCCTCTCATTTTCCTAAACTATTTTTTTTTATTTCTTAGACCTTCCTGACTATTAGATGTTTTGCACGTATTTCCATGGATAATAACTCATCAGCTTTGCAATCTGATTCTTAACATTAAGAGATTAAAAGTAATGTAGATGATTCTCAAATGACACACACGGAGGTCTAGAAAAATTCCATCATTTCCTTCTACAAAATGAGAGAAATTTTAATTCTTTTTCCCAACAGCTGCTTCATTTTTGTGCATAAGAAAAAAATATGTGCAATTACTCCAAGTACAGTCAAGTCATTTAACCATTATTGTAGTTACTTGGTATTTTAAAAGAGAAAAGAAAATATCTCCAAACACAGGTCCTGCTGTGCAGCAAAGCAATCAAATTCCTTCATAATAACAGCCTGAGGGGATTCAGCAATGTGAGGAATAATAAATCACCACTTTAATCAGTAAATAGGAAAATGCTACAGTGAGTAAAAATTGACTATCATCTGTTGATCCTCTTGATCAATATTTCAAACAATAAATAGAAATGTACAAGTGTCTTTTAAAAAGAGAATTAAGTTTTTTTAGTATGTTTGCTTCTGCTAGGCAGTGAGAAAATGATATATCATCTTAGATTGCAGTGTTGCCCAGTCAATAAAGTACAGATAAAATCTTTTTTATATTCAAGGCTAAACTGACCCCATCACTTGAATATGTCATGATTAACTCATTTTACAGTTGGCTAATAAGGTTGTATTTCTAGACTGATTATTGAACTTTATTGCTACTTCATCATTTGATGTTCTTCTCCTGTCTTCAGCTTATAAAATTATTTGACTCTGAATATGAAAAGTCAGTTTCAAAATAGTCCTCAAGTATCCAATGCAATGTCTCAAATGTTGGCCGTTCCTTGGGCTCTGCATTCCAGCATTGCAACATGATGTTGTAGAACTGCAGTGGACAGTTAGATGGTTGAGGGAGTCTATAGTTTTGACCCAACATTTGGATTACCTGAGCACCTGTCATACCTAAAAAATAAAGAAGGGGTCCAACAAAAACCAAGTTAAAGATGAGAGTCTTTAATTGATGGATAATAATCTCTAGATTACAAAGCAAATTGATTTCCTTGGCTAAAGTATGAAGTGTACCATCCCTTTCCCAGGCTACATAAATTAAACTAAATCTTGAAGCAAGTAATGTCTATAAGACTGCAAATTCAAGAGTAAAGGAGGAGACAATAAACCACCTCATTAATGCAAATAATCACCATCCACTTTTATCTAGTATGCTCCCAGAGACTCATAGGGTCATCATCCTCATAACTCTGCCCTCTAAGTCTGGACAAAGCAGTTAGAGTCACACCTAAGTAAGTGACCTACAGCAGGAAGGACCACTTCAGAATTAATTACTCACCACTATAAGGCATTTTGCCATAAGTAATGATTTCATAAAGAAGGATTCCAAATGACCATACATCGGACTTAATGCTGAATTTATTGGCACGAATGGCCTCAGGTGCAGTCCACTTCACTGGCAGCTTTATTCCTTGTTTAGATTCATAGATGTCTTCATTATCTACCTGTTAATGCATTAAGGAATCATGCCAAGTTAAATGATTTTTTTGTCACCCCTGTTCATCTGTAACCTGCTTCACATTAAAATTTAGAGGAGAAAGATTCAAAATGAGCTTAGTTCAATTGATAATCACAGTAGCAAATTCCCAATCTGGCATACAAGACTAAAAAAATCTACAGAAAGTCATTAATAAAGTATTATTTTAGAGCCAACTATGAGGTAAAATTAGCACTGGAAGGAGTATTCTCCTCCATGTGGGTGAATTTGTGTGATTATTGGTTTTACATCTGCTCTTCAGCAAACAAAAAAATGAAAGCAAAGCCTATCTGTTTTCTGATTTACTGCTGGAATCCCTGACTTTGATAATTATCATGTAACCATTTTCTAATACTGAAAAATAGGATTCAAATTATTTAAATTAATACATCAACTCACTGGGCCTCTAATTAATTTACAAAAAAAAAGATAATGAGTTCATGAAAATCTAAAGAAAATCACTTATTTGTTGTGTTTCATGCCCCATGTCCTTACTTTTAGAGTACAATGTAGAAATTAAAACTTAATTTCAGAGAAAAATATCTAATATTATATCTTTTATATCACTGTTTTTTGGCCTGATGTCATGAAATGGGTGGGAACAGGCAGGAATTAAAAAGCCAGTGATGCCAAAGAATGCTGGCAGCATGCATATTAGTCTGGCATAAAATGAGCAAAGGTAGGTAAGGGCTACTTTTTGTAAGGAAAATAGAGGCAGACCAAAAGAGGCTACTGGTACTGAAAAATAGATCATTATAATTTAGCTATAAACATAATTATATGCTTTACCATCTGGTTGGTCATCATTTTCTCTCTTTCTCCTTGGTGAGGAAATAGAAACAGGAGGCAGTTTGTAAGGCCTTGGACTAATGAGTGTTCTGTGGACCACAGAACTTAGGGAAACATTGTTTTGAGGAATAACTAAATCTATTAGTCTACTGGTCTCTTAGGCTTTCAACCCATTACACAACTAATTCAAACAAAACAAAATCCACCTTAAAGACTCTTGCAAGTCCAAAATCTGCCACTTTGTAGATATTATGTTCACCAACAAGGACATTTCTGGCAGCCAGATCTCTATGGATGTAGTTTTGGGACTCCAGGTAGGCCATTCCAGAGGCCACCTGTGCTGCCATGTCTACCTGCTGAGTCAGATTGATTTTTGATCCAGCATCATCTAGGCAGTAAGAGAAAATAAGAGATTTACTCTGGAGAACATTTGAGCTATTTAAGTGAATTCTGAAAATTTTGATGAATGAGCTATCAGTGGGATTCAGTGTCATAGCACTGATCTGTTGAACAAAGAAATACAATCAATATAAACCATTTCATTTCCTGTGAAGGGTTAATGAGGCAAGAGTTTTCAGAGTCCAAACACATTCCAAAGCTGTGGCCCTCCCCTCCTTTTAATGAGCATTACACAGGGACAGAAACAACAGTGTCACATGAACCAAACACAGCCACAAATATCTGAGAGATTCCCCATATTGCCTTTTCCATGCCATGCATCACTGACTCACCTCTTCATAGAAACTGTCATGTGGTTGAGTATGGATTTCTTCCAATATTGAAGTTTGTTTTAATCTTTGAAACTAGTAATTTGCATGGCTAAGCCAATGAAAAGTTTTCATTCTTCCATTATATTGTTCTTAAAAATTAGCTCACTAAAAATGAAGGATCTGACAGTAGTTACAAAATATGTATGTTACATTTGAACTCCATTAAGCTTGATGAATTTTTTTTATTTCCCTTTATTAGCATATTATTTCTTAGAATAAGTTACTTGTCTCTCCAGGCATGAGCATACCTTTAGTAGACATAGGTCCTCCAGCTCATCCTGTGTAACTAAATAGGAAATTTGTGTCATAGGGTCAGTTTGATCATTAACAGAGAGGTTAGTGTTATTTTATGGTGACTTTGTAAAATGGGGGGTCAGCCATCCTTGGATACTGTTTAGATGCCATGCTGCTAGTAAATATCTTCAGATTTCTGTAGAACTAAAAAGATCTCATATACATCAAAACTATCATTA